TTTTCATCTTGCTTACGGTGCTGTAAAAGTAGAATGCATTGTTAGGTAATGTAGCTAAAAAATAAAAAAAAATCTACTATCTAAAATGATGAGGAGAAAGAATTTCTGAATCCAAGACAAACTGATTGAATATTTCCTGGGGCAAGCCAGAGCATTTGTTGGACAGGGATGAGACTAGGGAGGAAGAAAGATGGATTTCTATTTAATGAAAGATAGGAAGAGGGTTGTAGTGAATGCACAAGCTGCAAACTCCTAAACCACATTCACTTATAGCCAGCTGGTGTTTGTATTTTATTGCACATTTGAGAGGCAAAAATGTCCATTGTTATGTAGGAAGGAGGTATGTCTTTGGCCCATAGCCACAGTTACATGCCCTACCCCTTCTTTCTCCTGGACAGAAAAAAGGCTTGTCCTTTTAAAAACTAAAGGTAGAACTCCAGGAAAACATAACAAGAAGTATGATTTTGTTTATTTCTTGCAAGACTTATTTCCCTAAAAGGGAAGGAAGGTCTGAAATCTCTAGTTACATGGCTTTAAACTACAGGGCCAGGGGGCTGTACTATAGAAATAATCTCTCTCCCTCTCTCTCTCTCTCTGTTTTAACCTTTCTATATGCCAGAATGAAAGGAGAAGTTATGGATGCTCTACCACTCTCACAGACCACAGTTATGAGTAGGGCACTGGATGAGGCACCTTTTGGAAGATAGGTTGTATCAGAAATAACTGCTAAATGTGTTTTCAATTGTCTTTTTCATTTCTAACTTTTAACTTTGTAATTTTAAAATTTCAATAAAATATTATTTTAAAAAAAAGAAATAACTGCTAAATGTGTTTTCAATTGTCTTTTTCATTTCTAACTTTTAACTTTGTAATTTTAAAATTTCAATAAAATATTATTTTAAAAAAAAGAAATAACTGCTAAATGTGTTTTCAATTGTCTTTTTCATTTCTAACTTTTAACTTTGTAATTTTAAAATTTCAATAAAATATTATTTTAAAAAAAAGAAATAACTGCTAAACAACAACAGTGAGCTTCTGAAAGAGAGGTTTGAATACTCCAGCCATTCACTCCAGGGACCCAGTCATGATGCTACAAAGGAGAGAGTTTCTTGTGTCATTTATAGTGATTCATCCAAATTTCAAACATGAAAAATAGTGCTTAATTTGTAAGATGTAGCTGCTGTCCTCAGCAGAAATGTCTTTCCATGATGACATCCACTTGCTGTAGTTCATCTGCATGATAGTAAATTCCTAGCTTGTGGATGAAGCAAATAGTGTTTAATTACTTCCATGAAATCCTCATTTTGACAATGGTACTTTTCTGCCTAAGCTGAAAGCAGTGTGATTATATCAGTTCTAGTGAAATGTATGTATAGAAATCCATTCTTCCAAAACAGGATTTGGATTTGAAAAGGAACCCTATGAAATGTCCTAATTAACACTACCTCTGCTTTTACCTCTGTGGCAAAATAAAGGCACATGACAGGGAGCACATACCCCCAAAGAATACTTCTAGTCAGATATGTGGATAAGCAACATTTGGAGGAATATAAGTTCTCAATCTTTTTTCAAGATGAGTTTTGTAAAGATGAGTACTCTGAATCAAACTGTTGTTACCCACAAATCACCTTTGTAGTGATAATGCCTATGCTGATTAGTGTTACTCCAGATGAGCTGTCAGGATCACCGAGCAATAGTAAAGACTGCAAAAACAATAATATAAATACACCTATTTGTGTATACTTAATATATAAATAGGCAGAAGATCTACAATTGCAGAATGACTTTACCCACAGAAGTGGGAATGCCTAGTCAATCAGGAGAGTAAGCTGGAGTTGTTGTAAGAGATGGGAGTCACCAAATTATTTTCAAAGCACGCGCAGCCCTTCCAACCATGTTTGCCCAGTGAAACAAGCAAGACACAAAAGAGTTGACTTATTGAAAGAGATCAGATATTTTGTTTCTGCATTGCCTTTCAAGGATTTTGAGGCCCCCCTTAGTGAGAAGTGCTAGCATCTAAATTATTATTTTAAAAAGCATGCTGCCTCCCAGTGGTCTTTTTGATGTACGATAATTTATAAAAGTTTTCCTTTGCTGCAAAAGAAAGAAAAAATGGTTGAATAGTTACATAGTTCCATAATCTAAACTATTCTAGTTTGACAAGAGCCTCTCATTCTGCTAGGATGCACAGAAAGGAATGAAGGGAAGCAGACATTTCTGAGAACCATCTCTCTCAAGATATTTTTTCCTAGCCCATCCTATAATAGCCATTCCAAAGGGATACGGCAGAAGAAGAGATGGGAAGTTTTTCCTAAGGCTTTGCTAAGAGACCAGATCTTTTAGCATTCTTTGGGAAGGGTTTCCAGTTCTAGTGTAATAGTGTAACTTGTCTTTTCAGGAACTATTGTCTGTTCTGCTGTTTTCCTCCTCCCAGTTAAGCTACCTATTTCTGTTTTGTGTTGAGTCTTAAAGCCAGAGAAAACAATCTTATTATTGGTGCTGGTTGTCTGTTTAAGGTTTTTAGTTTCTTCTATAAACTCATCCAATCATTGGGCTCCTCCTCAAATCTCACTAACCATGGCATGAAGATAACTCACAGTTTTTACATGACACATTCTCATGATGTTGCCTTCCACTCATCCCCACCCTACTGTGGAGTTAGACTACAGTTGTGCTTAGCTATCTAGCTTTAAAGTAGTGTTTTCCATCTTTTTCTGAAATAAATCTTGCTTTCTGAACAATCTGTGATGCCTCATTTAGGAAGTCAGTGATAGCATGATTAAGGGCTGGGGATCTGCCATGCTATTGAATGTTTTAGGCTGCCGCAGGCAAACCCCTCCTATCCAGTCCCTGGGCACTCTTCCATGATCATGTTGGCTTGGGCTGCTGGTAAGATCAAACACCTGGTTCCCATAACTGCTCACATAATACCTGACCAAGCATTATGCAGGCTCCTTATATACATGGGTTTAATATTCATCTGGAAGAGCACTATATCTGCCTTAGACAAGGGTTTAGTAGTCTTTTGAAAGGGTGCTAGTCCTGTCTTTAAGAAAAAGGCCTGGTGTTTTGGTTAATTTGAATTGGGAATGAGAGTTCGGTTCTGCCAGTTGTCTGTTGCCGGCTCTGTCTCAAATGAGTGCATTACAGATTTTTTGCTGCTTCTGATGACAAGGGATTTGATGTAGCTGTACTATGCACTGGTTTTATTACTTGGCAAGGCTAGGTGTGCCAGATCTAGATTGCAAAAATATGGATGATCACTAGAAAGCAACAAGGAGAATTCTAATTTATATAATCTGAATTTTTGCAGCCCAAACCTGGTAGCCTTATCTAAGACAAGAGGGGCATTTGCTCTGTGTGTGTGTCAAAAAAGTCAGTATAATGAATGCAAAGGTAAAATCAAAGCCCCACCCTTTCATTCAGCATATACAAACAGGTGGGGCTTCAACTGCCCCATTACAATTGCCATCTTGATTTCTTAATCTCCACCCCCTGCCCCCAATGTGGACATTGCTGTAAGACACTATAATTCACTAGTGAGGAAATGGCCTCAGAGCCTGGATTAAAAATTTCTAATTTAGGTTAATGATTCTGGGCTACAAAAATCCAACAATAAGATTGCAGCAAAGAGTTAGAGTTTTCTGAATATTTTTGCTGACATCTAGCTGTCATCTGGATTTTTCTAGCCCAGATCTGGTAACCCAGTTTAAACATATTTAAAAACAAAAAACCTCTGGTAGAAAGTTAGATACTTACAAAGGGATAGGTGGGCCTGAGTTTAACTGTAATAGGTTTTAAGTGTTAGGTTTAACCAAAACTGCAATCCCGAGCAAGTGTAGCTATTTCTACCCTCTACTGTCAAAACTCAGCTTGTATTTAGTCCATTGCTGCTCTCAGCTGACATTCATGGTTTCTATGTACTGTACATTTATAGTATTAGATACAATTTCATGTTGGATAAGAGTATGCTTGTATATGTATGACATTAACTGATTATGTGCCATCAAGTTGGTGTCAACTCTTAGTGATCACATAGATAGACTTTCTCTGAAATGATCTGCCCCAACCTGGTCCTTCAGGTCTTCCAGTGGTACACTCATCACCTCTATAATCAAGTCCATGCAGCTTGCTGCTAGTTGTCCTCTTCTTCTCTTTCCTTTCATCTTTCCTAGCATTATGGACTTCTTAAGGGAACTGGGTCTTTGCATAATATGTTCAAAATTTGATAATTTGAGCCTGGTCATTTGTGCCTCAAGTGAGAACTCTGAATTGATTTATTCTATGACCCATTTGTTTTTCTTGGTTATTCATTATGACATGCTGAGCCACAAACCAGCCAACCTCATTTTAGCCTGAATATTATGCAGACCGGATAGCATGATTTTATCCTAAATGGATCAGTTGAAGAGGGCCATGACAGAGAGCTCACCCATTGGGGAGGGCACAAAGCCAATGCTATCATATTTGTTTATGGGTTTCTCAAGCCTGTCATGTTTTGAGTTAAGCCCAGGAAAGCATATTGTGCTAACTCAGTTTATCAACGATGTCTATATATTCCCTTCAATTATCAGAAGCAGTATGTCTCTCACTACTATTGGATGGGAAACATGGGTACTCATGTTCTGCTTGTACCACCCCATAGTCATTGCCACTACGAGAACAGAAAGCTGGACTAGACACCGATTTGGTTTGTCTGGGGACAGCTTGTATGACGCTAAACAACAATGCACAAAGAAACTAAAAAGGTGCGATGTAGCAAAGTGCACAACTTGTGTAAAATTGACAATGCACAGCATCTGTAGCAAGTTCATCCCTCAATGTATAACCTTCAGGTCTTTAGGTAAAAAAAAGAAATGAGACTTCAAAAAAATTAAGCAAGACCAAACTAAAAATAAGGCTCTGAACAACAGCTAATTTCGACGCTTTTGCTAGACAATTACACGCTTTGCTGAAAGGCACTATGCTAGCCACCTCCTTAAGCGTAAGGGTCCTTCCGAGGCAGGAAGAGATTTCATTGCGCATGCTCTTTCTTTTCCAGCCGTGGACCTGAGAGTGCCGCCACGGTAAGGCCTGGCTCTTACTAGTCTATCCTCCGCGCATCGTCCGCATCCTACGTTTCTATAGTCTGATACCCCTCCTTGGCGTCCCTAGGCAGTCTGTTCTTTTCTTTCGTTGAGCTCGATTTGGCCGGGGAGAACAGAGGTTCGAGAAATAGATGGAAATGGGATGCCGTCGGAAGGCGGCAATTTAGTAATCCAGGCCGTGGCTTCTTGTAGAGATAACGTGGGGTTCCAGGAAGGGGGTAGCAGATACAGTTCGTTCCGTGCATCGCAACTTTCTTTGGGACACACTGTTCAGTGGTGTAGGCCTATCTGCAGCTTGTGTGGCCCTGCTTGCATTAAGTGTTCTTTTTTTTCAGAACGTTAAGTAAAATGAAAAGCCACGTTATTTATAAAGATGACGACTTCGCTAGAGGCCAAGTGTCATTTCATATCAAGTGACTTTAAAAATAGTTGGTTCCTATAGAAATGTATGTTAGAATTTGTAAGAGATGCATGTTATTATCATGCTTGATGTTTTGTAGTAAATTGAAGCTGCCAAGCATTTCTAGTTTCAATGGAACTTTCATGTCTCTTCCTCTAGTTATTAGTTGCTGTTACTTTTGAAAAGGAGATACTATGTCTCAGTGTAGGTGATTTGAGATTTAATTACTACTAGTTCCAGTTAAAACATGGGACATGCTAGCAGAGGGGTCTTCCTGAGACCCCTCCAGTCACAGCAGATTATGCTGGCTAATGGACAAATATAATCTTGAGCTAATATAGGTCATTTTTCTCCGATGGGCTTGTTTAACTTTGTAATGGTTGAGTTATACCACACTGTGTTTCTGAACAGTGTATATTGCTTTACCTTTCAGTTTCTTGGCAGAGCAATAAGCTAATGTATTAGATTAACCTGTGCAGTGTTTCTTGACAACTAGTGTTACTTTGAACTGGAGAAGAGGCTGCAGTTGACAACAAAATCTGTATTTCCCACAGATGTTGATGCCTAAAAAAAATCGTATTGCAATCTATGAACTCCTTTTTAAGGAGGGTGTGATGGTAGCCAAGAAGGATGTCCACATGCCTAAGCATCCAGAATTGGCAGACAAAAATGTGCCCAACCTCCATGTTATGAAAGCAATGCAGGTAAATGCTTATCTTTAACCTGGCAAGTTAAACTGATCTTTGAATTGCATTGGTGGTTCAATTGGTTAGTTTACACTAACACGTTTCAATATACCTCTGTCTGTGCAAACCCTTCTTGCTTCCACCATGGCCATAGACTGCTACGTATATTCTCTTTTGTTCTTTAAGCTTTTCATTTCTCTTTTTGAAAATCTCATCAGTTTCATGAACCCAGCTTTATTGGTCTTTCCATTGCTTTTGATACAATCATTCTATCTTTTGTTGTTTTCATTCTCTTTATGACCAAACCATTGTAATATATTTGTTTTGCCCTGGTAATTCTCTTTCGTATTGAGTCCACATTCATTCAACACCCATTCATTTTTGATCCTATCTTTTCTTGTTTTACCACACACATTTCTTCCCACTGGGTTCAACTTACTTTTATGTTTTTTCTGACATACCTAGCTCTTCCTTCTATATAACAAAGTGGGCACAATCACTCTTTTACATATAGCCATTTTCACTTTTTTTGACATTCTTTGCAGCAGACTACATATTACCCACCACTTTTCTGCCAATACCTGTCTGTCTTGAATTTCTCCTTCTATTTTCCTGCCTACAGAAAACATTCTACCAAGGTATACAGATTTATCTCCTTGCTCTGTATATTGCCATTTATGTATAACTTCCACTTGTTCCATTTTCCCAGTCACATATCTACTCTGTTCTTCGATATGTTAAGTGTAGTCCTCCATGCATTGAACAGTCTAACCCTTGCTGGGTTCTCAGCCACCAGCACAGCATTGTTGTTGTTGTTTAGTCGTTAAGTCGTGTCCGACTCTTCGTGACCCCATGAACCATATTGCGCCAGGCAGCACAGCATTGTCTGCATATAAAAGTGCACATACATTCATGTCTTCAACCATCCTATCTCTAGCATCACCATAAGCATTTATTGTACATGTTTCATTTTAAGAAAGGAAGGTTAATAATAGGATATGGCTTTTATGTTTTAGTAGTGCTCTAGAAATAATTTCAAGAGGTACAATACTTTGCTTTCTTGCCACTTCCATGGCAGGCTGATCCCGAGAAAACTGTTGAAGTGGCATTTTAGAAATGCAGATACTGTACTGTATTTTTTGTTACCTCTGATTGGGATTAAGAGCAGACCTTAGGTTTGAAAAAGTTGCACTTTGTGAAGTAGCAGTATTTTTCTAATTCTTAAACATAGAAGTAGAAAGAAGAACAGTATTATTTGTTTGCAATTTTACAGGATGGCTAGAAACATAGAAGAGTTCAGGATAGAAACCTAGCTTAGTTAGCCTTAATTATGTCTTTAAAACCTTGTTTTCTGTAACAAGTAACTAGTGTGTCTTCCTAGTCCCTGAAATCTCGCGGCTATGTGAAAGAACAGTTTGCCTGGAGGCATTTCTACTGGTATTTGACCAATGAGGGCATCCAGTACCTTCGGGACTATCTCCACCTACCACCTGAAATTGTGCCTGCCACTTTGCGCCGCAGCCGTCCTGAAACTGGCAGACCCCGGCCCAAAGGTGAGTTTCACTTTGGAGAATAAGAATTTCACTTTGATAGTTTTGATTTGTTAGTGACATTTTCATTGCTTTTCTGGATTTGGTGTTAATTGCCCAGGAAAGAAATATGTTTTGGAAGGGTGCTTTAATTTTACTTAATATTTATATTGCACCTCTTCTCAAGAGTTTAAAGTATATAATAACAGATCATTAATTAACAATTTAAAGCATTCCTTAATGCATTGTTTAATAATATTAAGTTGTGAAATAGTTGACTAAAATTTAAATGCTCTTTGAGATCCATTTCTAAAACAAGAATACTAAGTAAGCACTTGCACTGGCATGCATGTTCAGTAAAGTGACTGTGATACCATAAGGAAACAGGGAGGCTGTAAGTGTATTGGATTCAACCTGCAATCAATTTCTGAACAACTTCATGCAACGCTGGTGTGGCTGCACAAGAGAACTTCATCTAAATGAGACGGCAGCAACCAGCAATTTTCACAGTGTCTGTCTCTCTCTCAGTCATGCAGTTCACTTAGTGACCATTTTGCAGGAACCAGTTGTTTCTAAACAAGGACTAGTCACAAACAATGTAGTGCTGATCATAGTGCTAATCTTTGCTTTAGAAAGAAAATAGTATATGCTTATGGTACTAATATCATGCTCTCTTGTCTAAACTGATTTTGGTTTTGATTATATTCACCCATACTGGCAAACATGCTTTGTATTAGGTAGTTCTTAATTTTTTGAAATTAGTGCATTAGGAAAAATTGACTGCTACAATTCATTCTTCTATTTTTCTCAAAGACATGTACACGAGCATTATTCCTATATGAGTAATATTTAGTCTGCTGTTAAATTTTTAGGGCAGGCAGTGAAGTGTCTGTCTACCATTCTATCTAAGTTGTGAACTGCTTCAGTTTCAAAAGACTCATGAGTTGTTAGCATAATTTGTGAACAGAGAACAGTGACTATACTTTTTTTTCCAATTTTTGTTCTATAGCCACTGGTTCTAAGTAATCTCACTTTCACCTGAATTATAGCTCTAAAAATGGGTTAGATTGCCAGATGTGATACTCAAGAAGTTATATCTCTTGTAAAGCAAATAATTTATTTAAATTAAAAAAGGATTTTTTTTATTATGTTTGTAACAGTAAAAATATGTGATTTTGAAATATGCAATAGTTTTTGTTGACCTCTTAAAAAGTTAGTAGTAATTTTAAAAGGAGTGACAAATTTGGATGTTTGAAATCACTGACCTTTCAATAAAGTAGATTCTGGTTCACCAGGTAAAGACTAGCAGTGTGCTGCACTTCATATTGGAAGTCAAAAAGGTGCTTCGGAATGACATATTCCCTCTGCATCTATTGGCACCTCTTTAAAGAAGCTGTGTCTTTCTAGGTTTATGCATTAGTTGCAGTATCCAAGGAAGATGCACCGTTGAATTAAGAAGGCACTGATGGTGCACAAGAAGGTGTTTCAGGGCCCACATGAATATGCCTTAACTAAATCTGTATTTTCCTAGGATTATGTGGCTACCATGTTAACCCAAGAAAAGACATTACTTCTTTAAGGAAGTATTGACAGGGGTGGCGTGCATGCCTGTGCCCACTCTGAAGCACCTTTTGGCTTTGTGTTTAAAGCATAGCACTTCCCTAATGAAGACAGAATTTGGATCCTGATGGGACATTGTGACTAGTTCAGTTAAACTTCTTTACAACATTGAGATACTGGCATATGATTCTGCTAATTAGGTTTGGATGTATTTCTCATTTAATTCAGAGTGAGCTATAGGTACAGTTTGAATGTACAACTATAGCTGGCATTATGGTGCATAGTTTATCCAGTTGGATTGACAGGATGGGCTTTTAGAATGCTGAACCACAGCAAATGGGCAGTATAGGAGAAAGAGCTTAAATAAACAGATTTTGGGCAACTTAAAATAATCATCCATGAGACTGATGCGAGGACAAATAACTGCCTAGAATCGTCATATTTATACTTGGTTCCAGTGAATCTCTCCTATGGAAGATTTGCATCTAGCTCTGGTTGATTGGGCTTTTATCAAACAATTGATATTAATTTTTTATCTATTTATCTTCAGAAGTAACAATACTAATTTCATTGTAAATGCTAGCTGAATCATAATTTTGCACCTTTGGACTTTTTAGCTGGAATCAGTTCAGACTAAATTGTGCTGTTTTGATTTTTTTAGGATTGGAGGGTGAACGTCCTGCTCGTCTTACACGAGGAGAAGCTGATAGGGATACCTACAGACGAAGTGCAGCTCCTCGTAAGTATTGCTGAACTAAAGAACTAACTAGACTTTGCTATTGTTCTCATGTTCACTTGACCCTCTTTTTAACATTGATTATAAATTAGAAAACAGAAGAAACACAGGAAGGTTGATCTGCCTCTGATGCCTGTCAGTTACTCTTGGTAGGATCTTGCCCATCTCTCAATAGGCAAGTTGGGTATTCTTTGTTGTGAATTTAAGCACAACACAAATGAATTGTAGCCCTAGCGATGAACTTTTGCAAGGGAAGAATCATCCCTTCAGTTATGTTATGCTTTGGAAGTACTTTGAGCTTAGAAGGACAGTATTATTATGGAAAACAGTTTTCATCCAAGCTTTGGAAGGGACTGGGCCTTGTCATTCTTAACAAGCAGGGAAAGGAATGCTTAGTAGGGTAAGATCATGTACAGACTTTAGCAATAAAATTGCATAACTGACTATAAGTTGTACCTGGACTTCTAGTATCCTAATAAATTTTAAGCACATTTAAATACAACAGAAATCACCATATATGGTGTTCTTATCTTAAATAATAATTTTTTGTTCTCAGCTGGTGCAGACAAAAAGGCAGAAGCTGGTGCTGGGTCAGCTACTGAATTTCAGTTTGTAAGTATAATGTATTTTACTGTGCTTAGTTCATGCTAAAAGTTATGGTTTAGTTTAAATATAAAAGTTAAAGAAGAGCATGCCATGATGACTAGGTAGTGGAAGCTCCAATCAAACACTAATCATGAGAATTTAATTGTATTAATGTTCCTAAAGGAAACATTTGGTTGCATCAAAAATGTATGTTTGGTTTAATAGAAATTAGATTATCATTATCTATACAGGTAGAAATGTGGATCCAAATATAAATTGGCAGTAAGTGTAAAATACTGTTTATGAGAGTATTTTTCTTGTTTATTTCAGCAATGATGATGTAGTATACCTAGGGAGCTTCTATCCTTTGTACAAATAATGGCAACTAAATAGAGAAAATAGGTTTACTAATATAGAATTGCTTCTTTTTTATTTTGAGCCATGGTTCTCTTTAATTGCCTTCTTTTCCCCAGCATAATATGAAGGCTACCCGGAGGAGTTTTTAATAAGTTTAGTTTAGCCACTGATTGACCAGGTTGCACCATGATTACGAGATGTACTTTCAAGTATTTGAGCTATTGCTGCTTATCCTTTGCTCCTGTCCTTTAGTTTTTCTACCTGGATTATTGAATTAGAATCTCTTTTTGTCCAAATACACAATAGTTTGAATGATGGCATCACTGCCCTACCTTAATGCTCCTGGTTTACTTATTTTCAAGTTCTGTCAACTCTGTTTTTCTTTGACTCGTGCAGTAATTGTGGAACAAACTTGTTAATGTTTTCTTCTCAATTTACAGAGAGGTGGATTTGGACGTGGACGTGGTCAGCCCCCTCAGTAGAAAACTGTTGCTGTTTGGTTGCATCTTGTGTATAATAAATAGGTGAAAAAAATCAGTTTGTATCCTTGACTCAATTATTTTGTTAATTAATATGCTGAAATGGTGAAACATTTGTAAGCTGCTAGGTTCTAGTGCTTGTTTTCAAATGTGGGAGTTATACCCCAAAAATGGACTTATGGGGAATCTTGGCTGTTTAAAAGGTATTTTCCAAATTTTCATGGGTTCAGAGGAGGTTCCCAGTTAAATGAAGACTTTGTAGTAGTTGGCTGGTGTGGGTCTTCCGGGCTGTGTGGCCAT